AAATATAAAAAAAATACATGTTAAGAAATATAAATAAATATATAAATATATTTATATGTGTATGTTGTGCAGTACTAACAGGCACTGCACAGGGAAGGGACAAGAAGCATGTTAGTTCACTCACTGGAGGAACATTGAGTCCTTTATTCTTAATATTGTCTTGTAGGATTGTTGTAGGAAAATTCAGCAAAGGACCTCATGAAGTCTCTAGTTTGACCTCCTGCTCAGGGTAGGGTCAGTTCTGAGGTCAGACCATTGCTCAGGGCTTTATCCAGTCAGGTATTGAAAACCTCCAATGATGGATACTGTGCAGCCTCTCCAGGCAACCTTTTCCAAAACCTGACTGTACTTATAGTTAATAAATTTTCCCTAAATCTTATATAGACCAGACTTGAGAGCCATGACGCATGTAGCATTGCACGTTTCAGTTCGAGATTTCTCGTCTTTCCCATCCCCTGAATCAGTAGTATGTTCAAACCTTTCTTCATCATTCTTACATGGTCCAGATAAATTGCTCTAGTGTAGTACTGTGGACATAATGTCTGTAGTGATGTCTGCCTATATAAAAGCCTAAAGAAATTTATGGTGGTGCAGCAGCAGCTTCCTGCTTAGGCTTCCCTTCCCGCCTCTTTTTATTCTTTTGAAAATATGAATCGATGCCTAATTTTTAAACAGATTGTAGAGTGAGCAAAACCAGAAGTCTCACTTTGCTTGAATTGCCTGTCACTGAGTACCCCCAACCCAGTGAGTTTGTCAGTGACATTTGTGCTGTGGCAAAGTACATAGACTTTTTCAGTACTCAATTTCAGCATTTTCATATCCTTGGGAACTTTTTTTTTCCTTAACAGAGAAGTAATTATAGTAATGCCAGATGTTGTTATTACTCTGTTAATGATTGTTTAACCGGAAAGATAATTCTTAGTACTGTATGAAACACAACTGGTGCTTTTTTTCATCTATAGATGAGAGCAGGAATATTTGCTATCTTTGTATTAGGGTATGTTCATATTTTACGTTGAAAGACAAGAAGACAAAGATTGTGGCTAAGTTTCATAGGAAAGACAGCATGTAAAATGTGGGTTTCCTCGGATTTCTAGAGGGTTACAGTAAATGCCTGTAATGGGGCCATATTTTCAAATCACTCTTTGTTCTATTTCTAAAATCATGTCCATCACTCAGTGAACTTCTTCAAAGAACAGGTATAGTGGCATGCTATATTAAAGGCTAGAAATGTAAGAAGTGGGAAAACTGTCTAGTGGAAGTTTGTTTACACTTATCGCTGAAGAATAATTAGGTACTTTTTGACTCTTGTCATTTGTCTTATTAGGTAAACTGTACATTGGAAACAAGCTAGCCACTTATAAACTTTCCCAGCTATGTAACTTCATAAAGTACAGCACTTCATCAAAGCAGATCCATTAACCCTCTGACTGGTACTCTTCTCTTGGCTTTGATTGCAGCACCACACAGAAGCACCTAGCCCATCATTGCTACCCCCATCAGCTTTACCGTTAGATGTATTAAACAATGCCGTTGCTGGATTTAGTACTGTGGAAGAACTTATCCGGTACCTTGAACCAGATCGGTGGCAACTGGATTTGGAAGATTTGTACAGGCCAACGTGGCAACTTCTTGGAAAGGCGTATATTCATGGGAGGAAATCAAGAGGTAAATTACTCTTCTGTCTGGCCTTGCGGCTTTCTACGGGTGTGTTTTCTTAACAAAGAAACAGTAATTAAGAGCATTCTTCACCTTGAATTTTGGTTCCAAGAAAGGAATATGTTAGAAATACAGCAGACATCATTGTTGTTAGCTATTCTCACCATTATATTATCTGAAAAAGGACAATAACTAAACTCAAAACTTAAAGGAATTTAGCAGGATAAAGTAACAAAGGAGAAAAAAAAATAGAAGCAGACAGGGTAGTTTTTTGTAGGGAACCTGGGAGATCTTTATTTCCACAAAGTAGCAGGGCATCTGGGCTGGGTGACAAAATCAAACTTTGTGGTTTTCTTTTTTTTATGGAAGGCAAAAACTTTATTTTTTTGTTTGGGGAAGGTAATTTCTTACACTTACTGTATCATGTGAATAATTTGTTTATTTCCTTAGAATTGGTCCAGTCTCTACACCATATGAATTGTGAGCAATTAGCTAAATGTTTCTCTTCCATGATACCTCATGAAATCCCTGTGTCCATGTCCGGTTTGATCATGCAGTTGTCAGCTGAATCAGATGTAGATTATGTATTTCAAGACTTGTGGAGATATTTCTTGTTCAGCAAGTAATTTTCTTCCATCTACATTTGACATCATGAATTTTCTACCACATATCGTCCAAATGCTGCCCACTATTTCATGTTTATGGAGTCCATGTGGATGGATAGCATGCAGGCAACACCTCCTTCCTTGCCCACCATACAGCATGAAAATGAAAACACCTGAACATTACTGAATAGACTCCTCTGTTGACAAATGTAAACTAGATTAGCATCTGATTAGCAGGAAAGAAGTAAAACCTTTCATAACTCAAATTTAAGTTTTTGACAGCTAATTCTTGGCTCAGAGCCTAAAAATCAACCCTTCGACCCTACCTGTATTGCTACAGCTATGCACACAGCAACTAAATCAAGAGTCAAAGAGGAGGAAATTTCTTTAAAAGCTTTCAGCAAAGGACCATGCCTTTCAGATAGTCATTTAACACTTTCCTAATTAAAGAGATTCAGTATTTGCCAAATGTATGCTATAAGCATACAGTAAGTGGGAGAAAAACAAAATGTAATTTATGAAACCTTACATAAACTAAAATGCAGGTGTTGGATAACATCTATATAGACAAAAGCAACTCCCTGCAAGACATATCTTAGAAAGAAGCTATCAGAGTAAATCTTTTAAAGACTTCTAATTAGATGCTGAAATAGATTTTTCCACTGAATAAACATATCACGGTATTGCCACATTTATCTTTAGGAGACCACCCTCAGACTACATTACTGAGTGTGTAATGTAATAGCCTGAGGCAGAAAATATGTCCAGTTGAGATGACATAGTATCAACTATTAGGTCTATTCAATAGATAGAGAAAGAAAACCTCTTTTTTTTTTTCTTTTTTTTTCTTTTTTTCTTTTTTCTTTTTTCTTTTTTCTTTTTTCTTTTTTCTTTTTTCTTTTTTCTTTTTTCTTTTTTCTTTTTTCTTTTTTCTTTTTTTCTTTTTTTCTTTTTTCTTTTTTTCTTTTTTTCTTTTTTTCTTTTTTTCTTTTTTTCTTTTTTTCTTTTTTTCTTTTTTTCTTTTTTTCTTTTTTTCTTTTTTTCTTTTTTTCTTTTTTTCTTTTTTTCTTTTTTTCTTTTTTTCTTTTTTTCTTTTTTTCTTTTTTTCTTTTTTTCTTTTTTTCTTTTTTTCTTTTTTTCTTTTTTTCTTTTTTTCTTTTTTTCTTTTTTTCTTTTTTTCTTTTTTTCTTTTTTTCTTCTTTTATTTTCCTTCTTTTTTTAGTGTTATTCCTTCTAGTAGTATGTTTGCTGTATTTAAAAACCTTTTTAAGAAATGTTTGGGAGAAGTGCATGCCCTGAAATGTTTGGGTTTTTCAAACTCTTTGATTCTATAATTAGATCAGTTTTATTTTTGCAATATTTCAGTGTAAAAACTAAATTAGTGTCCTACTTTCGTAGACAAACATGTTTACATCTAGATTAAATGAAAATGTAATTAAAAGTATATGTTACTTTATGTAGAGAAGAGTATTATCCTCTACTCCTACTTAATAATTCATATGAAAAAGACTATATTTAGACAACCTAAATTCCACAGAAATTCTGTGTCTGATGTTTTTTCTGGATAAAATGCTTCCAAAAACTTCTAGCCAGGAAAGAAAAAACACCAAGTTCAGGGGCTTTGATGTCTAAATATAGTCCTAAATTCTTTTATAATATTAAACATACTTAAAAATAAAATATATTTTGCTGTGAAAAAAAAATGATCCCATCGCCTCCCACAGAAATCTATGCATAATCATTAGACCATATTCTGAAATCTGCTTAGAAGAAGAGTCATGATCCAACCATAGTCCTTAGTAGATATGTTTCTCATATAGCTATGTGACCTTCTTTTTTTTTTTTTTACTCTTCATTTGGGGTTTCGTAACAACCCTATCCTATTGTAGGAGCCAGTATGAAACTTACACTCCCAGGAACATCTCCAAGGTACTTAGGAATGAAAACCATCCTACTGCTATCTGTGCCCACACACAAGCACCTCAACCAGAATTTAATTTGTTTCATTGACTTTGAGAGCAGCATCCAGCTGGAAAAATGTTTTGGGAAAGAGGGTTCTCTGTGGTACTCGATACACATCCCAGAAGATGCCAGATGGTTGCATTGCCAATTGCAGAACACAGTTACTTTCAGGCTCGTGTGAACACGGATTACTTCAGTTGTACGTGCCAGTGAAGGCACAATTTTGAAATAGACTTTACTGTAGACCTACCTGCATCTACATATTTTTCTCTCTTTTTTTTTTTCCTTCTCCCCTTATTTTTATTTTAGTGTTTCCCATTCATGTGCTACTGCAGTCTTCCATTCCTCCTGAGCTAGTGCTAGACAAAAGACCTTTGGCTGGGGTGTCAAATATGATACACGAGTGGAAGCCAAGTTGAAGGGGTGTTTAAATGTTCATATTATAACAGGTACTGTAACTCAGTGCACTTGGGAAATCCACATAACCTTTTATTGTGGTTAAGTAAACACTTTTAAGGGAATATATACATTCTCTCATCTAACTTCGTGCCCACAGTGTGTTAAAATAAATTTTGGACAGACAGATACTCTTTGAAAAAATAACAGCTTCATTCACACACTTCAAAGAAGTGATTATATAAGCACTAGATAAATTTGCCACAGACCTTTTAATGAAATTGAATTACATAAGGTACGGCAAGGGTTCACTGTGAGGCATAATAGCAGTATACCTTAGTACATTGTAAAGCATGGAAACCAAACATGAGATTTTTCATCTCTCCTGAAGCCCGTTGTAACAGTAAGGCACACTGAAATCTATCTGCCAAGAGGTGATTGTGTGTTGTCCCACAGAACCTTTTTAAAATTTGGATCTGCAGGTCTGAGGGGTTCAGTTCAAATTCAAATTCATTCTAATTTTGTGACAAAATGTGTAATACACTTGCTGCTCATTTTTGTGCATTGCCCTTTCCTCTGTGTTATAACTACAGCTAGTATCAGGAAATGGATGCATTCCTCAACTGCTGGCAGTAGGCAGGAGGTAATGGAGAAGCACAACACCACACAGGCATCTCTCTCCTGCTGGTTGGTGGGCTTGGTGGAAGAGGCATCTGTGCCCATCTCCCATTTTCAATTTCTCATGGTGAAGGGCTGCGCAGCAATTGTGTTAGGATGCATAAGCTTAGCTTCATGAAATTTGCTGTACCAAGCATGTCAGCCTCTGTAGAAATCTACCAGTAGAAAGTATTAGTAGAACTAGCATTTCTCTCATTCTTCTTTAAGCATTTTATCCTCATTCAGACAGTTCACTTATATGTTTGAAAAGGTAGCAGGAGAAAGAAGTACTCCATTCCTGTCCACAGTCCTTGATTAATGGAGGTAGACATGTCCACCCTCTAAATGACTCAGCCTAGAGCTATTAGCTGATCAGAAGAGCTTAAATCATTTCTAATTTCTCACAGTGAATCTCTCCCCTGGAAGTTTTGTCTCTCTTCTCCTCTGCTGCCTTCTCAGCTTTCTCCAAGGAATGCTCTTGCAGTGTGGGAGGCAGGCTAGCGTCCTATCAGTAACTTTATTGGAGTTATTACACACTCCTTGCTTTTAAAAATCAGATTGTTTATTTAGGAGCCTATGTTAGCCTGATAGTGATGGAATGAAGTGCCCCAGCTTGGCATTCACTGTAAGTGCAAGCAGAGAAAAGGCTTCAGTGTGTTTAACTGACCTTTCACAACAATAAACCCTTACTTATGGATGCCAGTATACAGATGTGGTCTGCAAAAGAAATGTTTGAAGAAACATGGAATCAAATTGCTGCCCAAAGATCTGCTCCTGGGACAGTACTAGTGAGCATTTCTACTAGCAAAATGCAGCTTCTAAATTCTTTTTATTTCTTATGTGTTTAAATAGAATTGAGAGGCATTATCTTGCTTTGATAGGCTGAAGTTCTCCTTGGTGACCTCTAGAGGCTCTTTACATAGTTAGTAGAGGGGGGAAAAAAAAAAAGTATTCTCTAGAGGGTGATTCAGATCAGGAACATATTTTAGCTTTATTTTATATCTTTTTATTTACGAACTGCTAGCAATAACTATAAAGTATTTCTCAAGTAATATTAATGCACTGGGATATTTTTTCCCCTAGTTTCTTCTTGATTTAGCTCAAAAACAGTGGGTTTAAAACTCTTTGCTGCTTTGTTCAAGACCTCTATTTCAGTCATCTCAGTAGCCATATTATCATAGGGTTTTCTTTTTTTTTTTTTTACTGGATAGAGTACCCCTGTGAATTAAACATTACTTCTGTTCCTTAATGGTGGTAGGTTTGGAGAGAAACAGTACAGACAAAAGATCCCAGGGGGTCATGACTATTATAGTCTGGCTTTTCTGAAATAAATGAAATTGCATTGCTTTTCACCAAAGTAAAAAAATGTTCAGTCTTAACTGCCTCTTTCAAGGCCTTTCATGGCTATGCAGCTAAGGTGAACCTAAAGGAGCTTGCCCTGTTTCAGTTCTTTTCATGAGCTTGCTGTTCAACCATTGGCATAGTCAAACAGTGTGATACAGTGGAGCCAGTTTATAGGGAAACTGGTGCCAAATGTTAATATCTTCAACCTGCACTTCAAGTTAGGTGCTTACAAGGAGGAGCTGTATTTTATTTAAGACACATCAAGTGAAAATGAAACCTAGAGAAGCAACAGAAATTCATATATATGCTGCTATGAAGGAGGAAGGGAAAAATGGAGTCTACTAATAGTTATATAGATACACATACTTGTGCACTTGTTTGTTGTCTGTACAGTATTCACTGACAATGACATAACTTCCTGAAGTTCTTAGTCCATAGAAGTGAGTTCTTAGATATAAATGGTTTGATTCTTTCTCATACTGACATTGCCCTTGCAAAGAAGCAATAACTGAAATTTTAGCAGGGAAGAAGTTTTAATGCTTTATGCAAATGAATTAAAAATGTGTTTGGAGGTTTGCAGGATTCTTAATTTTCTGTGTATGCTTCTCCAATCCAAAATTAATATAGAATAGCAACACTAGAGCTCAGAGTATGACTGTGAACAAAGGGAACTCCATTAGGGTTGATTTGATAGCATATTTATTGGAACACAGTAGCCAAACTTGCTTTGTTTCATTTGAACCAACTCTGCCAGAGTTATAAAATAATTGGTGAGTATTCCTATGCAAAGATCATTCCACTTAGGTTTCATGGTATCCATATAACTGCAGTATTATACTTGTGTGCTGAACCTGTACCACCTGCACAAAAATTCACTTTCCTCAAGGATTCTGCACTGCTGAAGCTGATTTACCACCAATGAAGTTAGATTACGAATCAGTAAAGCACCAGTTCGTTTGTCTTTTTTGCAGTGGTCGATCTCAACCTCCTAAAGGAGGAGGTGCGGCTGTATAGCTGTACTCCTCGCAACTTCTCCGTGTCACTGAGGGAGGAGCTGAAGAGAACTGACACCATCTTCTGGCCATTGTGTCTTCTGGTTAAACGTTGTGGTGGAAACTGTGCTTGTTGTCATCAGAGTTGCAATGAGTGCCAATGTGTACCAACAAAAGTCACCAAAAAATACCATGAGGTACACACCTTTTTTTACATTTGCGTGTTTGGAAATACTGAAAGCCAATTAAGGAATTTATTTTTACTATAGGAATGCACCAATATTAATATTTTAAAATTTTATGTATTACACTTATAGTATTTTTTTTTTTACCATTTTACTGAGGTGTTACATAAAAAAAGTAATATCTTTCTTGTTAAAATATTTTTCTGTGGAACTATGAAGTCATTCCTGAGGTATTTGTTTACTGGTGCAGTTCAGACACATCACAACCACACCTCCTTGTTCAGCTTTCTCTAGTGGTAGATGTGAACTTTATGAAGGGACAGATATCTGTCCACTTCCATTGTTATAAATCTATAGCTAAAATTATTTATTACAGAATTATCTACAAATTCCATTGGGTTAACTATACTATTAGCCCTTACATAAAATTAAGTAGAAATATGGAACTGCAAGTCTTCTTTGGTAAAAGCAAGTATCTGTTCAACATGTTTTAATCAATTTTGCAAAGGGCTTCAGGTAAAAGCAAAAATAGTAATTAGTGGGTGGAATAAATGAAGAAATTCGGCCAAGGAAAGCCTATTTCTTTTAATAGGCTTCCTGTCATCTAGTGTGTTTCCAGTGCAATCTAGCTCATAGTCTAGGTGTGTGATGCAACACTTGCTATTTTCTTGATGCTTGTCTTCTTTTCCTTCAGGTTCTTCAGCTGAAGCCAAGGATTGGTGTCCGGGGATTGCATAAATCATTGACAGATGTACCCTTGGAACACCATGAGGAGTGTGACTGTGTGTGCAGAGGGAATACTGAAGGATAAACATGATTTAATCGTGCTGTTTTCTTTCAAAGCACATTCAATCAATGGCTGATTCTATTATGGGGCTTGTGCATTATCTCCTTCTGTAATCTCAGTTGTTTGCTTTGGGGATCTTCCATCTTCAAGATTTACAGTGAGCTCTAAAAAGAGGAGAAGCGAAACTGGGATTATATGTTGTGTGACAGCTCTGTTTGGAGGCCCAGTGAAAGGATGGGAGAAAGGCATCAATGAGGGATTTAAAATATATGTATTGTTTTTGTCCCCCACAATTTCTTGACAATACATGGATTTATAATTTAGGAGTAAAAATAAAGTTAGAAGGCTCACATCATGGAGACTTGATCCTGCTGGCTGTCTCATTTCTACAGCTCCAGTACATCTGGCCTCTGGTTGAAAACACCTGAAATATTTCTTTCTGTGTTCAACTACTCCTATGTACTCTAAATCGAAGCGTTCTCTGTTGTATAAACTTGGGTTAAAACAGACTATCTTGTTCCGAATTAAACTTAATTTGCCTAATGCTGGTAGGAAGGACTGGATTTTTCCATATGCTCTAGTAAAGCTCCTGCCTTTTAGAAAGAAGACTGGACAATAACGTGAGCTAAGGAAGCAAACATTGAAAAGAACAGCGCCTTTATTCTTACTACTATGGCTGATGATTTTTTGTTTGTTTGTTATTTTTTATCGTGTACATTTTTATACTCTCCTTTTGACAATATAACTATTTGCTTTTCTAAACTTGTTAAATATATCTATTTTTACCAAAGGTATTTAATATTCTTTTTTATTACAACCTAGATCAACTATTTTTTAGTTTTGTGAGACTTTGAAGCCAGATTTATACAGTTGGAGGAACAGACATGTGGTTACAATGGGAAAGGAGAATGATCTCTTTGCAGTTTGTTGCTACACAGTGATAAAATACAGTTTTTTACCTGGATGCACAGTAATAACAGAGATGTGTGGATGAAGCTCTAAGCTTGCTAGCTCCATGACACTGAAAATATGAGAGACAGACGTTATTGTAAGTGGTTTCAGAAGCTGACTTTAAAAACTCCCTCTCTCCATTCTGGCCTTTGTTCCGGTAGAAAAGAAATGAGCATAGATAGATGCATTCTGGATTGTTTAACTCTTTAATTTCTTTAAAGTAGGGTGATCTACAATGTAAGAAAAGAAGCCCAATGGCTTGCAGCCTTCATGATGCATCATTGTCATGGGAAGGCAGCCTTGCTAATGTTGAAGTGTATGGTTTTTCCGTTGACGGTTATAGCTGTTTAAGTACTGTTCACTCACAGGATCGTAACACTCTTCAGTACAGTTTGATGAGCTATGGTTTTGTTCTTCTGTATGTTATATTCTTTAACCAATACACTTATCCCACCCTATGCAAATTGAAAAGGAAACAGTAAAGTATTTTGCTTGTAAAATGCTTTAACATTATGCCTAGTTTATTTTTTTGACTATTGGATTTGCAGATTGTAATGAATCACCAAATAAAGTAATAATGCTAATTTTGGGAGAATAAATGTTTCCGTGTGGTTGCATATTTGTATCTGTTCAATATACAATAATAGGAAAAGTTAAAGAGGGTGATTTTCTACTTACCATTTTGAAAGTCAGTTATGCAAACAGAAGTCTTCTGTTACCAGGACTTCCACTTGCTTTATTATTTCTGCTTTACTGTAAATCCACAAAAAGAAAAAGGGAAAAGAAGGAATGTGATGCTATTTGTATAAACATTCAAAATGTTCAAGACTGTGTGGATGTGAAGCCATCAAATTGAAATAACATCTTCTGTTATTGTTTCCATCATGAAAATGAGTTCTGATGAAAATGTGGAGGTTTTTCCAAGTTGGTATAACTTTCTGATATCATTTCTGGAATGATCTCAGGTGGCTTCTGATTCTGTCTTAGCCGGTCTGTTTTGCCACACCCTCAACCTCCTACTGAATAAGAAAAATATCTGGTTTGAATGTGGCATATAATTATCCAGTCTGAACATTAACCTTGTATCAGAATGCAGAATTATGGTCACACAAGAAACCTGGTTTACTTGAATTTTGAGTCTTTGACCAGAATAAAGAATGTTTTGCAGGGGTGTTGGGGATTTTTTGCATTAATATTGTCCTTTTTTGTATGATTTAAAGAGCTTTTGAAAAGCAAGTTGAGATAAAACCAGAAATCATAGCCTCTGGTGTCATAATTCAGCAGAAGTATTGAAAAATGTAATTCTGTTACAGAAATTTCTGCCATAGGAAATGCAGGAGGTCTCATCCTTTCTGTAGACTTGTCAGTGGAAGAAGGCAAAACATGCATTGTGGGGTAGGTATTTGGTGGCAGCAGAAGAGTGGGGAGTTTCTGGAACCATATAGGGTACGGAGGGTAATGTTTTCCAAAAGTCACAAGTATTTCTTCTATTGCCGCCCTCTGGCTTTGGCTCACTTTCTTCCTTGCCAATTTCTTGCACCTTCCCAATTGCTTGCTATAGACCTGCATTTGAACTCCTTATCCCTCTGCTCTTTACAACCCCCTTCACAGTGCTGTCTCTCTCACCGTACCTCCTGTTTGCCATCCTCTTGCCGAG